CGCAGCTGTGTTTTATGTTTCCATATGGCCTTGCCAGAGGTCCCTCCCCTTAAACAGACGCAGCTTCCACAATTAGTGTGGACTCAAAACGAGTTAGTTATGGAATACATTAGGTCCCAAAGGCCTCATGGGGCTATTTACACCTCTTTGGACTATTTCCAGGACCCCAGATTATACTGTACGTGTAAATTAAGGAAGTCTCATGATCCAACAGCAATGACTGGAACACGCAACATGGCCATATCTTATGCCCCATTTCTCAATGCTTTTCTTGGCCTCATTTTAACAATTTTACCACCCTGAAAGATAAACTCTCAGTATTCTTAAAATTTTGCTTTGGAAAGGATTTTTCTCTTTCCCATTCCTGAGTGTGCCTGGTTCTATTCCTCAAGTACAAAAATTAAGGACTAATCAATTTTCTCCCTTGGCATTAAAGTCACTTAGGACTTTATTTGCATTTACCTGGCTGAGCTACAAATACCATCAAATACCTATATCATGCAGTTTCTTTATTTAAAATAATACATTGGTTTCACATAATAAAATACAAAACCAAATGAAGTCAACCTGTGTTCCTAGCCCTTAGGAACATACATTTAGCAGGTGATGAGGGAAAAAAAAAAAAGAATGCTAAGAAAGCCACTTCCCTGGCCAAAATACAAGATCAGTTATAGATCACATATTCTTGAAAAACCTTACATGCAAATATTCTTATTTCATTTTTTTAATCTGTGGCTTCCACTGTATACCCAGAGAATATGAGCTTGGTTTTGATGTTTTCTCGCCCCCACCCCACCCCCAACTCACATCTCTCTACCTTGCAAGGCCTTTCTCCTTGGGGCTTTTCCATGTCTTCACAGGCCTGAGTCACGTCTCTGATTACATTTCTCAGTTGGATACTGCTCCCTAACAACTCAGAAACTGACACACGGACACTTAATAAAGATTTATTAAATGGGCTTTAGAACCTGAACAAGGAAACTTATCATGTCTGGAGAAATAAGTCCAAGAGTCAGGAAATTAGCTGAGCAAGATTTGATAATAGTGGTGATAATTATGACAGTGAGCTTTTAATGATTACTCTTTATGTGCCTAACACTCTACTAGAAGCTTAAAATGAGATATAATCTCATTTTACTTTAATCATCACAACATCATGCATCATGACCCCCTATTTGACAGGTGAATAAACTGAGGCTTTAGGAACTAAAGTAATATGCCTACAGCCACATAGCTATTAAGCATATGTTACTGGGATTAATATGCATGTCTATTGAATGCCAAAATGAATGCTTTTTTTTTTTTTAACCACTTCCTTTCTGCTTCTTCAGTTTTTAGTCTATTAAGTGTGGAAATTTTATCACTCCCTAAGTTCTGGTCCAGTTTTAAGATGTTTCAGATATAAGATGATACATATTTCAAGAAAATTTATAGTTCAATTTGTTTTGCTTGTTGATTAAAATCCTATGAGAGACAAAGGAATGGCTCTCCAAAGCTGAAAATTTAGGAGCCCTGAAAGGAAAGAAGAGAGGAATTTGGGGGCAGCTTGAGCCTTACCAGAGTTTTTCATATACACCTGAAGCTAGAATTAGCATTGTATTGTCACAGCAGTGAACATTTACTGAAAACTTACTATGTGCCAGACATGCTAAAAGTTTATATGTAGATCTCAGACAACCTGTAGGAGACAGAGCTATTGTTATTCTCAATTAACAAATGAAGAAATTAAGCTTTATTTGCCCAAGCTCACTTACCTAGTATGTGGTGGAGCTTGTATGCAAACTCCGATATGTTTAAATCTGAAGTCCATTATCTTAACTTTAAGGTTACTGTATACTGTTTCCACATGCTATTTTAGCTTATTTATTTATGTACTTTTAATGTGATTTATATCAATGCCATTTGTCACTTATTTTTTTAATAAAGCTCATGGGATGTAGAACAGAAATCTGCTTAGTCTGTCTGCTAGCACTTACTCCAGTGCTGCATGCGTGGTGATACTTAACAAGAATCTCATGATGCATGCCTTTCAGTGCAATTAAATACCTTTGGGTCACTCTCAGTCACATGCCTGTGAGTTACAAACTCTGATTTCCTCTCTCTCTCTCCACATATTTATTTCTGTCCAAAGTGGATAGACTATTAAGCACCAAAAGAAAATAAGACAACCCACACCAATGTGGAGATTTGAAAACTCTAACCTGAGAAAAATCTCCATAGACAAAACATAATGCCTGGGTGGGTGATTGACTTAACAGAAATCCTACCTAAATGTGTTCCCACAATTCATTCTGTACTTATTAGAAGGGATTATTGACACTTGCAGAAGATACAATCTCAGGGATCCTGAGAGCAAATTAACTTTGGTATTAAGAGGAATTGAAGTTAGATGTTACTCTCTATACTAGGGCAGCCTAATTTTCATTTTAACTATGACTTATATTACATAATATTATTAATCTATTTGCATGTATAAAGCAAAAAAAAATACATTTCTCTTCTGTTTTTATCTTCTGAAAGAAACACCCTCCAAATTAAGCTACATAGGAACTCTGGAAATACTTAAGACCCATTTAGATTCTGTAACTATTTGGAGGGAGGAGGATATTTTAGAAACTACAATTTTTTGATCAAATAAGTGTAAGCTCATTTTTATTTTAGCCAAGTACACGTTTTGTAAAACAACACTAATAAGGTATGCTATTTTTCTCTAATCAAATTCCTCACAATAAAATCCAACTGCAATATTCATTTAGAAATCTGATAATGCTCTCTTGTGTGAGTTTTAGGAATATTTGAAACCCCACTGCATATAAATTATATCATGGAAAAGCTGTATAAATATTCTATTATGGCACATGCTGTTCTAAGGATCTGTCAGGATTTCCTTTATACACTCCATTTTGAGTGGTATATAAATCAGATGTAAAAATTCATGTTGGACTGAGACTCAGCACAAAAAGCCTCCTCCAGAGGCAAATGCTTTTTTTTCAAAATGTGGTTTGAATTATGTTGGTCATTTTTAAGCTATAGAAGTGCAGAAAATGTATTTGTGGTTTTGAAGGAGAGAGATTTTTTCCATTTTTATAACTCATTAGGAAACTTTACAGGCCTTTAGACCATTTTGTGGTTTAGTTCTTCTCAGGTTTTTCCCCAAAGCAGTATTAAAACTTGAATGGTGTCCGCAATGAATCCAATGATTGCTGCTCTGAATACAAATGTATGTGTGGATATACATAGTTCTACTTATCTTCAACTAGAAGTTGTTCCAAAAATATTGTGACTGAAGTAGAAGATTAGGTCTATCATCAGTTGCCCATTCTTTGTCTTGGCATCAGTCAAGTTTGGCCTATCAGAGGACATACCTATCCAGACTGCAGGTCAGCAGGCATTGCTTGTAATTTTAAAGCTGTATACTTGCAAAAAAAGAACCCACTGAGTTCAACACTGCTTCTTTTATAACCTCTTTGACAATAAGACTGCACCTTTCCTAAAATCTGCTTTCTCTAACATACAGAGCAAGTGGCAGCACATTTAATAGACATTCACTGATAATTATCTCATTTATAAAGTATTTAGTGTATATATAAATTCATTTGCTAAATAATGTAGAACTTATTTAGTCTGTGTGGTTAACATGCTACGAATAATTTCAAAAGCATCTAAATGATTGTTTAAGCATGTGTAGAGATTATGATTATATTATGTCTCTTAACAGTGTCAGCTAAGATCTAAGAAAGTTTGATTTAGACTAAGAAAGTAGCATAGTTTGCAGTTGAATCATCCAATCTTTCAAATGACTTTATAGGAGAATGAAACAAAAATAATTTATGTTTGAATTGCTTCCATCTATACTATCCACTTATTCAGATTGTTAACATATTGAAACAATGCATTTAGTAAAAATTTCCCAATGTCATATGTTTTTTTTTTATTAAATTCCACTTAGATAGAGAATTAGAATCTGGGTGTCTTGATGCTTAACACAGTTTCCTTTTCATCCTATTACACTATTTCTGGTGCAGTTACTGAAATTTTTGAGTTTAGGGACAGTTAGGATGGAGCAATCAGAGGATAATCAAACATTTGCCTGTGGCTGATGGAGCCATGTGGACTTTCCCAAGGGAACGCTGAGGAGCAGAGGGGTCTAACTTCTCCTGAATGTTTTATCTACTAACCTGGTGTCATGGAAATTAGCCAACTCTGTATTATCCAGAGATCTGAATACCAGTTTTCTTCATTTTTCACATTAACAAGAGAGCAGGGTTACTAATGAGGGGTCGCATCCCAAATCTCTAATCTATATAGCTGAATTCCTTATTTATATTTGGGTCATTTTTTATTCTGTTCCATTTGCTTTTACTAAATTATACTAATTTGTTTTCCATAATGTTACATTTGGTTATAATTAGGAAATTTGGTGTGCAATTCATATGTCACTCATATACTCATTTCTTTGTGTTAGTTTATCATTAGAGTCATATCTTTTATAATTTAACTTAACATGCATCATTCCAAGCATCCCTGTATGACTCATTTTGTCATTAAGAAGTTTTTTGCAGCTTTTGGGGGAAGTCTACAAATTTCTGAGCACTATATACATATTGAAACACAGTTTTATGTTCATCAAAACAGTTTCAAAATAAAGCATAGACACTTAAAAACCACTGAAAATAAATACCAAAGTAAATAGTTTTTATGTATGAGGAATCTAGATTTCATGGTTTGGACACAAGTAATTTGTAACTCATTAGGAACACATTTTCTTCCCCTCAATCTACTGCATTATATCCAATTTTTTTCTCACTTTTGGAGGAGAAATAACACAGTGCTATTATTTGAATAGCACTGACCTTGTTAAAACTTGGCACCATTGTTTTTTATATAGCAAGTGGTATGTTTTTAAATAGAATGACTATTTCTTACAACACACAAAATAAAGAATGGCATTTTAAAAACTTTAAGCTATGAACAGCAAAAAATGTAAGATATATTCTCACCTTGATTTTACTTTTAAGCAGCCTTTTATTTGTCGATTAGGAACTTCTTCCCGGGGTTTTACAGGCTCCGGCTCTTGTTCCTTCTTTTGACAAACCAAGGTATAATTTGTGCCACTATTATTTGACCAAAATGTACCAACAGAAGTTTCATAACGTATACAAAACTCAACTTTACTGCCATCTTTCTGATAAGGAGGAACTAACGAAATCTTAAAGGAAAACTGATCAGTTTCACCATCACATGAATTAGGAACATATTCTGCTAAAATGTCATAATGTGTCTGCCAGTCATCTAAGGACATTCTCACATACACTAACTTCTCAAAAGAGACATTCAAAACTCGAATAATACCCTTGATACTTGTAGACCCAGGAAGAGACTCAGTTGACTCCAAAATCGCTTTCTGTATTTGTAGCTGTTGCATAAGATCTTCTTTTGAAGAAGGCAAGTCAAATAGTGGAACTAAAACATATTCTGTGTGGAAAATGTCCTTTCTTAAGTCAAACGTGGTTGAAGCACTCGGTAATTCCCAGCAATCAAACTCTTTAACAGACACAAGATTGAATCCAAAGGCATCAGCGAATGAAACTCTTCTAGTTCCTGAAGATGGAGTGTCCAGGTACATGTCTTCAGAGGAATCAGAACCTCGTCTACTTGGTTGAGGGGAGAAACCAGGTTTGAAAGTAACTTTAACTTCTTCATCTTCACAAAGAGAATCAGATAAATTAGGAACTTCTAAAAAATTATCTTTGCTAATCTGACTAGGTACTTCAGAAGGCTCCATTGGGCTCTCTGATATCAAATAAGGGAGAACTATACAACTGGTAGAGGCTGATATTTGAGATACTGAGGCTTAAAATAAGTATAATGTTACAGTTGACATTGCAAAAAGGAGTCAGGTCTATAAATAGGTCCAATGGCGTGTAAACTATGCTAGCCTGCCTCCAAAGGCCTTTAATATGATAGCAACTATGCTACTCTCGCCAGTATGTTTCAGATTTAACTCTCAGTTTATAAAGTTGCGTTTGTTTATGAGTTAAGTTCCAAAGAGACATTTAAACACCATTTTCTGCAATATTAAAACTTCTAAAACTTTAGGATAAAAGTATTATGTTAATGAGTTGATGCTAAACTTGCAACATTTTAAAAAAGTAAAATAAAATCAGTATCACAACACTGAATATGTAGTTTGAATTAAATTAATCCGTGGAGCAGGTAAGTGCAGACATGAGTGGGTGAGAATACATAGAAATGGACAGATCCAGAGCCTACTAATAATGACAGCTATCACCTTCGGGACTCATAAATGAAAAAATGTTTATTCTAAAAGTGTTAAATAGAGGTGCTAAAAGTTCTGAGGAAGGAAACATGATGTAAATAGGCAAGGTATCGTCTGAAATAATCCATGAAGAGTAGGTAGAATTTAGACTTGCAAGGTTGGAGTGAAGTGGAATTTTCAAGTATAGGAAATAGCCTGAGCCAAAGCCCAGTACAAATAATTGATCAAACTCGTTATTTTAAATAAACATTAGTAAATTTCTTTTAATTAAGCCATGGGAAAATCAGGTCTTGTGTTATTAACTTGAAAATGTAAGTGGGCAAAGGTGAACCTAGCCAGGAGTAAAACACTTATCTAGAATAAAATGTTTTTCTTTGGCAAATTGCCATTGTATGCCCACAAAGCAGAAGTTGCTACCATGACACCTTGAAATTTGATGTGATTTAGACTCTCACATGTTTTTTGAGTTAGTATAAAACCCATATTGGGAGATGGCAATTTGGCAAAAATCTATAAAAATTTTAAATGCACACAATTTGACCCAGAAATCTCCCAGTTAGAAATTTGTTCTATCAGTATGGGAAAGCATATAAAGATAAATATAGATATATGTTCATAGCAGAAATGTGTATTTTAAAATCTCTAGAAACCTATTTAAATGTCCATCAACAGGAAATTGAATTGCATAAAGTAGTGGATGGAAAAATAATTTTCCAAAATTAAAAATGACTAATGTCTAGGAGGAAAAATAATAAAATTAATTAGGCTTTATCTTATTCACACAGTTAGAGTGGGCGGTGACCACATAGATTAATCAAGAGTAGGAAACTGTTATGGAAATGACATTCTCTTGCAAACCTGATGACCATGAGTAGCCTTATTTCAAGGTACCTAAAAAATATTATTATGTAGTCAAGGAAATTTGTAACAAAGTACTTCATAGAAATTAGTAAATAATTCACATAGCCACACAACTCATAGAATAGAATAATGAGAGTTTACAATGTAATAACATACTAAACAATTTTAACTATCCAGTGGTTATAAGCAGAGAATGGAGTTCTATCAATTGATAGATAAGACAGGTAGAATACAGAGAATCTATATATAACCTTAAGAAATGATTTGTAATTTGTTTCATTTTTTGTCTTTTTCAAAGGCTATAGACTGTAACATTTAACTTTAAAGACATCATACATCTCCGCATCAGAAAATGGGCCTGTTATTTGATCTAAACTTTTCTTTTTTTTTTTTTTTTTTTTGAGTTGGAATCTCACTCTGTCGCCCAGACTGGAGTGCAGTGGCCGCTCCCAGCCACCGCAGCCTCGACCTGCTGGGCTCCGGTGATCCTTCCGCCTCAGCCTTCCAAGTAGCTGGAACTGCAGGCGCGCGCTACCACACCCGGCTAATTTTTTTTTTTTTAATTGTAGAGATGAGGTCTTGCCAGGTTGCCCAGGCAGGTCTCGAACCTGCGGGCTCGGGCAATTCACTCACCTCAGGCTCCCAAAGCGCTGGGATTACAGGCTGAGCCACCAAGCCCGGCTTGATCTAAACTTTTCCCTTTTTAATGTGTCTCTTTACACAAGAACCACTCTCTTGATTTATAGTAATCACTGTCTTTCTTTCAGAGTTTATAACCTTCACATTATTGTAGATAGTTGACATGTCCCCCCTTAGTCACCACTTAACTAAATCAGAGTGATTTTATCTTTTTAATCTCTTCTCATGTGTCAGTCCTCCAGCACTTTTTTTTTTTTAATCATTTTGTTACTCCTCTATGAACTCCTTCCAGCTTGCCTCTATTTTTCTGTTAATGAGCTGCCCCCGGATGAATGCAATAGTACAGATCGAGTGTCTCTGGAGCATGAAAAGAAATACCAATGACTTCAGCCTTGTGACTCGGGGTTTATATTCAGTTAAAATTCACATTTCCTTGCTTTGTTTCCATCTCATAGATCAGACTAACATCGCGTTTTCTCATTTCTATGACTACCTCAATTTATCTTAACTTTTATCACATTCGTCCTCAGAAGTTTGGCTATACAGTTTTTAGCAGAGTTCTTTGCTGTTGTTGTTGTTGTGTGTGTTTGATTTTTTTTTTTTTTTTACAAACCAAAGTTCAATTTTCCGTGCATTCTATATTTTTTGTATTAATCAAAGATCCTCAAAGGTTCTTTAACATAAAGCACAGTATCAGTCAGGATCCCAGTAAATAGGAAATAGACAGCATGCTCAAATAATATTATTCCAGGAGGGTTTATTTACAAGAATCTATTTATAAAGTGTAAATGCAGAAAAGCCACAAGAACTAGTGTGACAAACTAGGGCCAGTTGCATCAGAGCTGTTATCATCCCTCAAGGGATAAGGGAAGGGAGCAATTAACAGAACTTGAAAGCACAAAGTACCATAAAGAGCTTACTGGTTAGAAACCTGGTCAAGGGACACAGTCGGCTAAAAAGACCTTGCCTGGAGTGACTCCGGAACATAAATACACTGAATTCACTCTTGCCTTTCCTAAGATGTTCTACCAAACCTACCCTTTGCCAGAGGGCATGGGTACTGTCATAGTTCATCCAGTTCAGTCTCCTGGAGCAGAGAGCAGGGTAGAAAATAACATAAAAGGTGATAAGTGCATTTGAAAGTGCAAACAGAAGATATATGGGATTAAACATATGCAAATATAATTATATATTATATACATATAAAACTTAAAATATGTACCTATGTTTCTCTTTCTTTATACATATTCCACCTCAGTGCTGAGTTTCTATTACCTGATCTTTTATTGTCACAGCTTCAAGCAAAAAAAGGTGAAACCTCTAAAGTCTGTAAACTCTAATCCAGTGCAAGTTACAAATAAGAGAGATTGAGTTTATCCATAAATAGCTAAGAAAGAAAGGGTCTTTTTGTTTTAGATTAATTGTAAGTTTTCATTTGTTTCTTTGTTATCATTGGTCTTTGCAATTTAAAGTCAAGAATCTTTTTGTCAAAAGGGGATCTGGAACAGTGATTCTTTTGACTAGAGATAAATAATAAAATCACTGGGAGATATTCAGACGACACAAGCTCAGATACATCATCAGAGCTAGTGAATAAGAGTTTCCAGGGTGATGATGATGATGCTTTACAACAGATTCTGGTGTACAGACCTGGTTAAGATACACAATCTACCACCAGTCTGTTGGCCACAGTTAGGGATTTTTTTTTCTAGTTATGAAAACAACTGTAGCATTTATCTTTCAAGTATGATGTGCTCTTTTTGATAGGGAGCCTAAGAAATGCTTTTACCCCCCAAAAATGACACAAGTATTTAATAGAGTTGCAGAGTGGCAGAACTCTAAGGGCACTTAGCAATCATCTAGGCTAGTCACTTCATTTTCACATAAGAAAACATAAGTCCAAAGCAATGAAGGACTCCATTATTTAATAACGAGAACTGACTTGAACCCAGCTTTCCCTTGCTTTCCGTCCAGTATTCTCCATATTATACCTTGCATATGCCAACTTCTGGTTTCAGAATTCATAATTAACAAATTAATCATTTTTTGAAAATAGTCATTACAATTAATTTGTTCTGAATTTCTTTTATTTTTTTAAAAATCAATTAACTTTTGTGAACTTTCTTCTTTCCATTTGATGAAAAATCTCCAGGGGTGTCCAGATAATTTTTCGTTGTGACAGGGGCTCTCAACCTTTTCCAACCCATGCTCCCTTTGATAAATATAATATCTTACACTGTCCTCTCTTTCCCTCAGAAACTCAACCACATTTATATTTGGAGATTTCTTATCTAAATTATAAAAATGAGTTATGTAATGTCCTTAGAAATAATATTGACACTTAGTATTTTAAAAGACAAAGGACACTACCTCAAACATAGTCTGAGACATAAATTTGTTTGTCAAATAATCATTGAAAAAAAATTCTTTGAAATTGTTTACATCTACTAATAGACCAAGCACAGATAAGTCAGTAGAGAATGGAAACTTTGCCAGGTAAAAGATAGATTTTTAAAGGGATGTTTAATGTATTCCTGGGAGAGTTGAATGATTCATTTAGGTAATTGATCAGGTTATAGCAGAAGAATTTGCCACCAAAAGCAGCATCCAGATTCTTTAGCCTTAATTTACAACAGAAAAACTAATAATTACACTCAAGCATCAAGTGCTTATTTTATATGGATTGTATGATGTGCTTTAAACTCTTTTGACCAAAACAAAGGCATATAAATGTAGAGTAGAATTATAGTTCTAATTAATTATAATTTCTAATTAATTATAGAAAGCAAGGAAAAATCAGGGCTAAGCCCTTCATTTTACACTTAAGAAAACTGAAATCTTGATGGTTAGCTGGATTCTTACCTTTTGTGGGTAATTCCAGCATTAACCTCAGAAGGAAAATATATTATAAGCTTAATGATAGATACCATGTGATAATACCTTAGTAAATTATTAATTAATCCACAAAATACATGCTTAGAGTATACGCAGTTTTAAAATATAGCTAAGTATACTATATTAAGAAAGTCAGTAGGTCTAAATTCTATAATCATACTTATTTATATCAT